TTCGTTTGAGCAGAGTTTTGTTTCTTTTCGTCTTCTGTCAAAGTGCAGCAATAACACGTTTGTTATCTGGATATGCTCCGCCTCTTCTTTCTTCTGCCCCTCCTCTACTAATCTTTGTGAACATCATGTTAAGAAGCCCATCAACAATCTGATGGATAGGGAGTTCCATGAACAGGACCGTAGAGGGAAGAGGAGAAAGGCACCTAAACCACTGCAACATAAACAAGAAAACCCAGTCGTAGAGTTGACGCCGGCGCCATTTCAGGTGATGTGAAATTGACGGTGGTGGTTTATAAAAAACGAATAGAAAAATCAAAATATAAAAACAGAGAAATTGATGGATGTTTATGGTTGATGGTTTACAGTGAGTGCTGGGTTGGGGTGGGAGGAAGGATTGGGTGGCGAGTTTGGTATAAGGGAGGAGAAGCAATTGAGTTGTCTTTCTCTTTTCTTTTTTCTGCCCAGATTTTGGTACAAGAGAGGAGAAGCAAGGATTGGGTTGTGACAATGGAGGGTTGTGGATGAATTTCCGAATTTACCCTCATTTTTGACAGAAAATTTAACGGAGTTTGACGGAGGGACTACTGGTGCAACATAGCACCTAGTTGAGTGACCCATGCAACTAATAATTGAATTGAGGGACCAAAGTGTAACTACGGGTATAATTGAGGGACCATTGCTGTGAATAACCCTATTTGGAATGATATTTGTTTTATGAAACGTTTTCAGTATTTTTGTCGGTTGAAGCTGTTACAGTAAGTAGCACCGATCAAAAGCATTGTTCAACTCTTTGTTGCCCTTGCACATGATGAATTAAGTAGGATGATGAGTTGGGTTGTCAAATGAGCTTAAGGCTTTTGATAATGTTATTGAATGATGAAATGAAGCCTAATTAAACTGAGATTGGGCAGTTTGATGCTTATGTGAATGTAGATCAGAGAAGGAGTCATTGAGGATGGGCACTTGCAATAATTTCATGATTCTCTTGCTAACTTGAACAGGTTATTGTGGTACCTTTGCTTGATGGCATGCTGGGAGCAATCATACCCTCTCGTACTTGGTTTGGAGTTCTCATGTCTGCTCTTGGGGTTGCTATGCTGGAATGCAGTGGATCACCTCCAAACACAAAAACATTCTTGATGCTTTTGCGTTGAGAATGTTGTAGAAAAATCTGATTTCATGTAGTGAAAAATGGGACAACATATATGACCATATAGCTCTTCGGCAACTAATGATAATTCTACTTTCCTTTTCAGGTTGGTGATCTTTTGAACTTCTTGAGTGCAATATTTTTTGGAATTCACATGCTTCGAACAGAGCATATTTCAAGAAGCACAAAGAAAGAAAGCTTCTTAGCAATTCTTGGATATGAGGTATGCAAGTCATCATGCCTGCCTCATTTTCTTATTCACATAGCTTTCTAAGTTGTGCACTTGATTAATTCTGTGGTTTATTCAGGTTTGCGTTGTTGCTCTCTTATCCAGAGTCTGGGTTTTCATTGGAGGGAGGTTAGATGGTGCCCGCTATTCGAACCAATCATCATGGTTATGGACATGGACAGAGTTATGGGACTGGATTGTTGCATTTCCATGGATACCTGCACTTTATACTGGTGCATTTTTCAACTGGGTTATGCTTATGGATTGAGGTATAGTTCCTCAGGTCACACTCTACTATTTTTGCACAAACTGAATTTAAGCACTATTTAGATACTTATAATATCCCCTGCACTGCCTGTCCTGCTGATTAGTTCATCCCACAAAATATGTGCCCTATAAATCATCAAGTATTCAGAACTTACCAGGGCATGTTCAACCTTAAAAAATTTGTTCGTCGCAGCAGATTGCACCGATGCGTGATGTTTCAGCGACAGAAACAGCCATAATTTATGGGATGGAGCCACTGTGGGGTGCCGGTTTCGCATGGTTTCTACTTGGTGAAAGGTGGGGTACACTTGGATGGATAGGGGCTGCTCTTGTGCTTGGTAACTAATTTCTCCTTGCTATTGTGATCTCTTCTTATTTCTTAGATCTCAAGTCATATTGGTCTCTGGAATTTGTGTTATCATTTGACCACTATTTTATTTTATGATTATAGGTGGAAGCTTAGGGGTGCAGATATTTGGGTCCTCACCTCCCCAAGAATTTACAGTGGCTGAAGATGGTAATGAGAAAGGTGATCTCCGACGACTTCCCACTGAGCATAAATTATAAAATGGTCTCTCAACTTCCCCGATTGTTGTCAGATCCAAAAAGGATGTCACAGATTTTTAAAAATCTATATGTATATAGCTACATTGAAATGCTTGAAATTAGCCAACTTATAGAGAAAAATTATCAATGATTTTACGTCTTGATTACCATCTCCAATGGAAACATTTCTGAAATGACATATATTTCAATCGCAACCATGAACCATCAATTATCTTTTCTCTTCAAAAGGTTTTGAGACTTCGCGTGATCAAAAGAAGGAAAAAAGGATAACACATGAGACCAATGTAGAGAAGTTTTGTATCCCACATTGGAGTTTTAAAGAAGAGAGACACTTATCACAACCATTAAACAAATACAAACACTCCAATTCCATTACAACTGGGCAAAAGTTGAAAGACGAAAGTCACACAATAGTTTTAATTAAAAACAGCGACATGGATTGAAATAGGACAGGCCAACAACAACAGACCATTATACTAAATCACAAACAATGTTCGTCCCAAAACACATATCTAAACAGTGCTTCATTTCTTCTTGGCAATGAAGAGGCCCCACTTCTGCTCTCCAGAGTCAGCCCTTATCAGCTTTGCCTTCCATCCACCAACTATATCATCATAATCCTCCTGTTTATATTTCAATCACAAAGAATCAGATGAATGAATGCATAGATTAATAGATATATCGACGAAAAAAGGATAGAAATGAGGAAGAAACGCACTTCCGAAAAGTCCTGGATGAATGCATCCTTGTCCTTCTCAACAGCATCCAGTTCCTGCTGCAAAACTTCTTTGAACTAAGGCGCCAGAAAACAATTTGGTTTCAGATCAGGAAAGCTCAAAACAGTAAACATTTTAAGGAAAAATTGCAAGATTAGCGTAGCTTTATGCAAACCTGATCAGTACGATCCTCAGCAATGACCTCGTCAAAACCAGCGTCCTTGAGCATCTGAGGTAGGTATGAACATACCAAGTGTTACTTTACGTCATGCGAAAATGAATAATAATGATCTTATAAGGCGGGCCAGCAAAACTGTAAACAACAAGACTTACCTGACCATATGCTTGTACATCATGGAGATCATATCCTCTTTGCTTAATATACTCAGCAAACTCTGCCGATGGAGTTCCAGCACTCCTACAGTAATCACTGATGAGAACTTTACCTCCTGGCTTCAACCACTTGTAGAAGGATCGGAATAATGCAGGTTTGTCCTGTAAATTTTTCAAATATCATCCAAGTCATAAATGACAGTTCCTTGAAACTTGACATATTAGTATAGTGTTGAGTTTGATCAGTATAGCAACAAGATATGTGGCTTCATTGTAAGTTCTTAGAATAATTAATCACAGAAGCATCCCAAGAAAACTTACTTGTATGTGTAAAATGGTGTCACGGCTGTATATCACATCAAAGGTGTCGTCAGGATATGTCTTTTTTGTGCAATCAGCAACTTCAAACTCGACAGCGCATTTGAGTCCAATGGCATGTTCAAGAGCAAAAGAAATCATATTTACGGAGAGGTCAATGCCGACAACCTCAACATCATAATTCGAGGCCATATAAAAGTCACCTCCCCCGATGCCACAGCCTACATCTAGAACTTTCTGGCCAGGCTTAAGATCCAACTTTGCCACAAATTCTTTAGTTGTTTCTGCTCAAAAGAGAAGGGTTCACTCAGAAACGGGGGGGACATCATCTACCTTATGTTATGCTTATAATCCACAAATAATAGTTCTTGCATACTTACAGGACATTACCATAAAACTAACCAAACTTAAGAAAGATAAAATCATATAAACTGAACACTTATGATAAAACCATATATTTCTTTCTAGTATCTGCTTGTTCATTATTTCAGTTCCTACTCCAAACTAATAAACAAAATTCCGATGCTGTATGCTACTATGGCACACCAGCTGAGTACTGTTCTCCAAACAAGTGCTTATAGCTACCAACCAGATGAACAGTTACAGCACAAAACTTGGTCATAAAAAAGGGAACAGGAAAATAAATAATCAGCTAACTATCTATTACCGATCCCTCCTGTGCTCACAAAACCTTGTCCAAAGACACGCTCATATCGTAATATGCCATTACTTTTGTACTGAACATTATCTAAGAACTGCTGGAAACCTCTATCATCCTGTGAAGCGACTTTCTGCCATAACCAGCAAATCTGTATTAACCGAGCATCTTGTCAGTCTGCCAGTTCAACTGCAAGAAAAGAAAACTACTAAATCAACTTCTGCTAGTTTTGTACCTGATTTTGATTTTTTTTGTTCCGAACATAAGCTCCAATACATTTGCAACCAACAAGAGAGAGTTCAAAGAAATTCCCAGAATCATCACTCATGTGGCATTCTTTAAAAACCTGCAGTAAATGTAAATCAGAAGTAAATGTCTGTTGACCGGAGTTACAATGTCATGAGTTAAATCGATCATAAAATTTTCTGAAACTGACATAGCCCAGCATAAAGATAACCAAAAAAATTTAGCCACAACAGTAGGAAACTTCAGTTATGAGGAATAATTCGGAAGTATTTCTACTTTTCGAACGTAAACTCCTATAAATCAGAACATTTTCCAAGCTCTCATTACAATGCGGGCAAATGAAGCTCCTAGCAAGTAAATTCGACTCTGTCAACTCATCAAATTCTTATCACATACACTTTATAGGAAAGAGCCTAAATTAGAACACCCATCTTAAAGTGGGCGCATATTACTGCACAAATGGAATAATCTCCCAGCAACTAGAATGAATTGAGACCACTGAAAATCTCTTCATGAATTTAGTGAACAAAATTGAGCACCTCCATAGGACATCTTGAACAAAGTAGTAAAGAAGGCAAACCTTGGTATAAAATCTGGGTTCCCGGTAATGGGTTGGGTTGGATTTTCTTTTAGAGTCTCCAGATTGGTGGAAACAAGATTCTCTGAAAAAGATATATCCACCGACCTTCAACCATCCCATCATCCTTTCTACCAAATTTTCCACCTGCAACATGGAAAAGATTTCAATTAGAATCAGGAAAAAAATGACAGATAAGCAGAGAAATTATCTAATGATCCTAAAACCTGCAGAAACACTAAAAGAACAAGATGTGACCTCTAGCATAATCTGTAAATCACATCGAATAGTACCCGTGCAAATATGATGAAATGAGTCAGAGATTTGTATACTGCACTAACAGTCAAGTACCACACATAAAACTGGAAGCCCTAAAGATGGGAATTAGTACATAAATACATAGCTAATAAGAGGCCAAATGCACATATAAATGGAACATGGACACTAAAACCGTCGACTGTATTAAGAGTGAATGGAAATGGTAGCACAGTTTCATAACTCTTTGAGTTCGTCACTGCACAACACCACAGTATACTCATGGAAGCAAAAGAAGGAAGACCACAACAGGAAGTAAAGCACTAACTGTTCAATTAACGAAAGGGAAGACCATGTGACGAAGACAAATTACCTCCTTATCTGATAAATACATAAGAAGCCAATTTGAGAATATCAAATCCACTGATTCTTCAGAAATCTTCAGATCAGGA